GGAGCAGGCCTAAGCCAGCAGGTCGTTATCTCCTGAGGGGTCCCAGACTGCAAGAGGGCACAGGCCGGGCTGAGGGACCCCCCCCTTCCCCCCCGAGTGCACAAATTTTTGTGCACCGGGCCTCTAGTATATATATATATAAGGCTAATATGCCAAGTGTCCATCCGACTGGTAGCTATGACACACAATGACCACCAGGGGGAAGACACTAAATGCAGGAGCTGCTGAGCTGCAGTGACTTGGCAGCAGCAGTTCTCAGGTGATGTACCCCGAAACCAGAGAGGAGGGAGCCCGATTCCTTGCAGGGCCATGCAATTCCACCTTCGGCCGTGGGTTATGTTGTTGCTGGGACATTGTCGGCCCCCAATCTGGTTTACTGCACACTTGCGTTTGCATTCCACACCCTCTAAGACAGCAACTTTGCAGAGTGCCCTCTCGCACTCTGGAACCCCTCGGGGGAATAAAGAGAGCCAGTTTCGGCCGGTTCCCTGCTGGCCAGGCCGAGAGACCCCACCTGCCAGAGGGACCCCACTCACTCCACAGACGCCCTTCAAGCCACAGCTCACCCCAGGTGCAGCCCGCCAAGAGGGACTATGGGAGGTTGGCTCCAGGGCGTGTCCGGCCTGCCTTGCCCAGTCCTGCCTCACTAGCCACCTTCTAATTAATTTCCTTTCAATGTGCATGAATCTGTGCAGCAGGCCACTAGTATATAACTAATATCCTGGACATTATGTCTCTCACCTCTTTTATCCCATTGTCCCAGGTGTTTATGTCTTCTTTGTCACCCCCACCTTACACCACTCACATCCCTTACACCTTCCCCTCCACATACTTTCTGCAGATGATCTTCTAAACTGAAGCATGGGATTTTATATTCAACCCCAATAAATTTCATCTTCTTAATTTCAGCTGTTTAAACTCTAAGAAGGAAACTTTACTTCTGTGTCATCATCCAGTGACTGACACATGTAGAAATCCCACCTCAAGTGGATACTAGTCATTCAGAAATGGCCCTTCAAACACACCTCACCACAGGCATGTACCAACATCTAAACCCTATTCCTATATTTCCTTCATGAAGGACCTTGTCAGGTGGCTCAGTGAGGTCCAGATATAGTACATCTACTCCTCTTTCCCCTTCCATCAGCCTGGCCCCCCTGATCAAAGAAGGAAATGAGCTTAATTGGCTTCATTTTAAAAATACATATTACATATTTTTTTATTATTTCAGAGAGGAAGGGAGAGTGAGAGATGAAACATCAATGATAAGAGAGAATAATTGATAAGCTGCCCCCTATACGCCCCCTACTGGGAATTGAGCCCGCAACCTGGGCATATGCCCTGACCAGGAATCAAACCATGACCTCCTGGTTCATAGGTCAACGCCCAACCACTGAGCCACATCAGCTGGACACTAATCAGCTTCATTTTTAAAGAATGTGTGCTGGCTTGTAGGGACCACTACCACAGGCCTATCCTTTCTCCTGACAAACTTTCACAGCAAAAATAAAACAAACTTTAACATTAGGGAATACTGTTGCAGTTAACAGAATTTTCTGCTAAAAAACGTTTGTTAAGTTTTGTATATTATCATATGGACAAATATTTTTCTAAAATCTACTAGCTCACACTCCCGCCTGTATGTCTTCTGAGTTAGTTTCTGCCTGGGGTCTTCATTCTCAACATCGATTCGAATGCACAGGCCTCCGGACACAGGAAGGATAAAAATGGGTGCACTCTGCACTGACCTGAGCGATGCCAGGGTGGGTTTTTTAAATTCCTGTTATACATTTGTGTAACATTTATATCATTTATCTCTTTCTCATGAAAATTAAATACAGAAAAATTGAGACAATAGGGTCTAATTTCTATTAATAGTAGAAATTATTTAAGGAATTGATTTTCCTTATTAATTATTTTTGACCAAGACTATAAAAGACAAAAGTTTGGTAGATTTTTAAGTTTATCATTCTGAGAAAAGCCTTTGAAGCTTAACATTCTTTCAAACAAACTTATATGCATGTATCTGTACACTAAAAAGCGACTGTCACACTAAAAGAGCTGACGCTGTCACACTATGGAAAGTGGGAGGTGTAGAAAAAAATCATCCATGATTCCATCATCTGACAAATAATTAACATCATTGTTTAAATACTTCTGTCTGATTTTCAAGGTTGAGGATAACTGGGCCAGAAGGTGTAAACATTTCTTATAACTCTTGGAGGGTACAACCAAAATCCTTCCCAAAAGGCTGCACAGTTTATAATGCCACTAGCAACTTATGAAAAGACCAATTTTTCTAAACTTTTGCCAACTTTCGATGGTACACTGTCAATTCTAATTTGAATTTTTATTAACACTAAGGCTGAAGATGTTTCTGGATTTCATTGAAACAAATATTTTAAATATTTCATATATGTTGGTAATAATGTTCTAGTAATATTTTCATGTACAGCGATTTTGTGATATAAAGAGGTATTTAGAAGAGTTTATATGTGCCTTAAGAATTAAATGGCATCACCAAAATGAAGGACCTACCTGCTGTTCATATCTTTGCTTGACATCCTCCATTTGCCATAAAAACTCCTTTGATTGTTTCTCACGAAGAGACCTGGATCTAGTTAGATCTGCTTCCACTTTTTCCATCTACAAAATTAAAAAATCAAACATCAAATTTTGAAAAATTTATAGTCCATGTTTTTATTTGTCCATTCACTAAAATGACAAATTTTAAATACCTCACCAATCATAATGATGCATTTAAAGATGATAAAAGTAATAAAAGATATACCTGTTATTTTGGTATATTTTAATTGTTTAAGTCAAGAAAATAAAAAAATTAACATGTAATTGACTAAGTTCTACGATTGTTGGCCCATAGATAATCAATATTGTGATAAAAAGTGAATTTATTAAGAAGTTGTTTAAGGAAGCACAGTCAAGCCCACTTCATTTTCGTTGGTTTCTAACTCAAGATGTGGGTTACAAGGCTCTCCTTCAGTGCTTTTCACATTAAACCTCAAGCAGGTGGCTTCTTAATTTGGCCTTGGCAATCTACCCTCCCTACACTCCAATAACCTTGGCATTTCCCAAACAAGCCGTGGCAATCTTGGATCTCCCACTATCAGGAGAGTCCCTTCATGCGTTTCCTCTTCCAAACAGTCCATCTTGAAAGTTGACTCATGTCTCTTCTATAATCCTTCCAACTGATAGGAATGTGTCGTCCTCTCTGGGCTCCAGGACTTGACATCTGTATTCCTCTAGGACACTGTGTTTTTCTCTGTACTATGGAAATGCTTCGAAGGTTTGAGCTTCGTTTACTCATCTAGATCCTGTGCTCCCTAGTAAAAGGAACTAGGATATAATTCTTTCTCTTGAATCTTAATTATTAACTCATTGCCTTGTTATGCTGTATTCAATTCTTAAGGATGAATGAAAGGGCAGGCAAAAGCAAGAGGGAAAGAAAAAGGAGAAGATAAATCAAGGTGGGAAGACATGGTTTATTTAGTACTTTTAAGAGAGATTTTTATATAAAATTGATTTTTGGTTCTTATTTTTCTTCAGCACAGATTGAATAGTAAAATAAATAATAAATATTTAAAATTTTCAAATATTAAATACTTAAAATAAAAATGAAGAGTTTTCTATACTCAACGTTTGTACAATAGAATATCTTCTATCAAAAAAACAGAATTATCCTATATAATAAAATGCTAATATGCAAATTGTCCCCTTGACTGGGAGTTTGACCAGGAGTTCAACTGGGAGTTGAACTAGGGGGCAGGGCCAGCCGACCAACAGCCTGCAGCCCCTCCCTCTGGCTGGCCCTGCTCCTGACTGGCCCCTCCAAACCCCAATCGGGATGGGCCAGCCAGACCCCACCCATGCACGGATTCATGCACCGGGCCTCTAGACTTCTATAATCAAAATAGCAAACAATTGAAAGCACACGAAAAGACTTTTTATACCTAAACATTAAGAAAAATTCAAAATAAGTAACTGATATTATAAGGTAATGAAATATGTTATTTTAGGTTATACTGACCGAGAATGCAAGAGCCCACTCCATTCTTATTCCACAATTTAACAAAATAATAAAAAGCAATTCTTGTAAAATACTTAAAGCTGTATAGAAACACAGAGTTCTCAGTTGCCATAGATACAAGAGATTCTGCGTTATCATACATCATTCCATATTCCATTCAACTTCCAAGTGTTTAAAACAAATAACACCACACTCCTTTTATTGTGTAACTCTGGCTTCCAAAAACCTCAGAGTAAAACGTGGTGGTCAAATTAGGAGCAGCAAAGGGCTTGGATGCATTTCTGTGAATGGCTGGTGTTTAAAGCAGTAACAACGAGGTAAAGAGGGTGCTGCAGTTTCCTTATAGGGTGACTCAGGCATTACTTTAGCTACATGTAAAAGAAAACCCAAGTGTCCACAGCTTAAACAACACAGGCCCTTTATGTTTTCCTCACGTAACAAAAAGTTCAAAAATAGGCTGCTATATTGGCAGTTCAAAGATGTCAGGGTTAAGGTCTCTGCCATCCAACCTTCCCATAATGATTGTGAAATGCTTCTGCAGCTCTGAACATATGGGAAGGAAAAGGGCAGGGGGGATAAGGGCCGAGGGCCCCTATCAGGTGAGTCAAATACCCTTTTAAGGGCTTTGCTGCAGGACCTGTCAGTAGCAAATTAATGATGCCGTTTGCATCTGATTCACTGGAACAATATTAATAAAAGGCAAGCTCCATCTACAAGGTCAGAGACTGCAGTTTTAAAGCTGTGTCTAATGTTGCCCTAAAAGTACAAATGAATATTGGGCCAACATCTGGCAGTCTCTGTCGAATATGGTCATAATAAGTTATTGCTCTTTCTCTAGTACAGTATCCATGTTATTATATTCTGAGTAACTTGACATATACAATTTATATTATACAAATACTAATATACAATTGTATACAAATTCAAAATACATTTTCATGCATTTAATACATATTTAGATAAATTATAAGAAATTGCCCTTCAAATATTTCCAGATATATGTAGAGATAGGTAGATAGGTAGGTAGGTAGGTGGGTAGGTGGGTAGGTAGATAGGCTTGCAGAAAGATCATTATTTCTGTGTTTTAAAGTCTGAAAACTAATATCCTTAACAGGGAAAATCAATGAACACAATAATCGATTATATCTAGAGTTCTTTTGTGAGAGATCATTAATTTATATAAGACTGCCAATATGTCTAAGGCCTGTCCTTTTGTTATTGATTTGTAGCACTTTTAACTATTCTAGATGTGAACTTCTTGTTCAATATCTGGGTTGCAAATATCCTCTCCCACTCTGAGGTTGCCTTTTCATTTTCTACTGGTCTCCTGTTTTTTAATGGATTTACATTTAACAATATTATTTTTATGTCTTTCTGTTTTCTATTTCGAAAATCCTTGCCTAGTAGTTCCAATTATCAAAAATGCTCTTGCATTTCCTTCTGCAAGTTTTATTGTTTTACCTATCTCTGTATATCTACAATTCTAGAATTCATTCTGTGAATGGAGTGAGATAAGGGGCAAGATCCCATATTTCCATGTGGCCATCCAATCAACAGGGTTTATTAAGTGATCCTTCTTTCCCTGATGCACCGCAATACTTTCTTTGACAGGAATCAGATTGATCATAGATGTGAGTCTGTTTTTGTTTGTTTTCTTCTGTAACAGTGGTCACCCTCCTGCCCAAACCACACTGCATTCATGACTATCGCTTACTTAGTCTCGGGGCCTGGTGTGTGAGCTCTCCAGTCGTGTTCTTCTCCCGGACTGTCACAGCTATGCTTAGGCCTCTGCATTTTCATACACATTTTATTTTTATTTTTTTTATTTTTGTTAAAGGCATCTTTTTACTGTTGCTTCAGTACTAGTGAGCAGAATAAATATACAAGGGAGGACTCTCTAGCTGGTTCGGTACAAAAGTGTGCACAGTGAGAGGAAACCAACAGTCACATACAGAGAGCACCAGTTGGTTTTTCCTCCAAGGAAAGAGCTAGAGCTACTGTTACAGCTAAACTGTAGCTATAAGAAAGCTTAGCCCCTTTTCACCCTCCCAGCGCCAGCCTCGCCCTCACAGGCAAGTGTATTTCCTCATGAACTGTCCTCCCCATTTGGGGGTTTTGATGCCTCTTCTTGCCAACAGTCGTTCCTCACCTTGGTCCCTGGCTGCCCAGCCAGCGCTCCCAGCCACGGTGGCCTCTCAGACACTTCATAAGAAGACCCCTGAGAAGGCAGCAGCGTGCCCTCGCTGCTCCAAATATTCTTCTAGTGCTGAGAAAAGGGTTTCTTCTGGTCCCTGTGGGCGGGAGGCTGGGAGCACGGGGACTTGGGGGGAATTTGGGGAGCCATGGGGTCTTCTTAGCAAAGAAAACCTCAGTGGTTTTGGTGCATGGCTGTGGGATTTGCCTGGAAAGGACACAGCAGCAGCCAAGGGTAGTTTCTGGCCATGGAACATCGACAGGAGGGATTTTTCTCTCGTTGCCCTCGATCCCTCGGCGGGGCCATCCCTCCCCTGGCAGGCCTCACAGAGAGCTGGCCATCCCTGCAGGCAGCTGGCTGAGTTGAGAAGCCTGAGAGTCGCGTCAGCAGTTTGGAGGAGAAAGTTTGGGTTGATTATTGACCACGCCTTCTTTCTTCAAATGCCACATGGGACCCCCGCGTGGC